CTGATGTTGATCATTAAAAATCTTTGATTCGACGTATTCCAATCTTGTGAACCAATTTCTTGAATGTAGATGTTGGCGTGTTTTTGTAAATAAATCAGTCATATTGTCACTTGAACAAATTTGTTGAACATCGATGTCGCCATTCTTCTGAAACTCCTGTGTATGAAAGAACTTTGGAGAAATATGCTTTGTCTTGTACCTTTGATATAACCTCCTTTGAGTTGTGCAATACAAATAGCATTATTTTCATACAAAATTGTTAGATTATCTTTTATTGAAATAAATCCGCATGATACTTGGATATGATTGNATGATGCTTGGATATGATTGGTCATGTTCCTCAATCATACACATTCTCGACCTGCTTCATGGATTGCAATAATTTCAGAATGATTTGAGGATGTTGCTGTCAATGATTGCTTCACAGATCTCCATGATATAGCCATTCCTCTACGTGTAAACACGTATCAAGTTTGTGATTTAACTTTATGTGGGTAAGAGAGATAACTTGCATCAACATATCCCACTAAAGCAGATCCCGACTTTTGAGAATAAAATAATCTCAAATCAATAGTATCCTTTAGGTAACGAAAAATATGTTTAACATCATTCAAATGTCTTTGTGTTGGTGTAAAGCTATATCTTGCAAGGAGATTTACAGAAAAGGCTATATCGGGTCGAGTGCAATTTGTAAGATAAGTTAATGCTCTAATTACACTAAGATATGGTATTTCAGGACCAAGAATCTTTTCTCCATCTTCAAGTTGACGAAAATGATCATTTTTATATCAAGTGATCGAACAGCCATAAATGATGCCAATGGATGTGCATATCCATATAAAATCGTTTTAAGATTTTTTCTGTATATATAGATTGATGAACAAATAATCATTTTGAGAAATGTTCAATCTGCAACCCGAGACAGAATTTGGTTTTTTCCCAAATCTTTCATCTCAACTTTATTTTTCAAATAATTTGCAATTTTGTTGAGCTCTTCAGAAGTTCCAATTAAATTTAAGTTATCAAGATAAACTGACACAATTGCAAATCCAATATTTTTTTTTATTTTTTTTATGAAAACACATAGGTAGATATCGTCGTTTTTATAGCCTCCCTTCAACAAATATTCGTTAAGGCAATTATACCACATGCGTACGGATTGTTTCAATCCATATAATGATCTTTACAATTTAATTGAGAACATAGTTCTCGAGCATGTATCATTTGTTTCTCACACTTTAAGTCCTTCAGAGACTTTTATATATATATCACTATCAAGTGAACCATACAAATAGGCAGATACTACATCCACAAGGCACATATTGAGCTTTTATGACAATCAAACTACTTAATAATCTAAAAGTGATAGTGTCCATTACAGGAGAATATGTTTCCTCATAATCAATTCCTGATTTTTGTGAGAAACCTTGAGTTACAAGTCGCTCCTTGTATCTTGTAATTTCATTATTTTCATTTATCTTTCGTGCAAAAACTCATTTGTATCCAACAAGGATTACATTTGCAGGTGTTCAAACTACAGGTCAAAACACTTTCCGTTTCTCTAAGGAATTCAATTCCGCCTTCATGACATTTTTCTATTTTGGTCAATCATTTCTATTTTGACAGTCTTTAACAGACAGTGGTTCAGGATCCTCATTTTGCATAATATCAAGAGCAAAAATTATCTATAACAACATTATTTCGCTCCCATAATTTATGAGATAACATATAATTTATTGAATCTCATTATTTTTGGACACGTGTGATTCTTCAGGAACCATACTTTCAATATTTGATTGATCAATTTTCTCTAATGTTACTTTTAATGAAGTTTTTGGTTGGTTTTTCTCTTGCACTTTTCTATATTGAGGTACAGAGTCTTTTGAACCTACTGGTCTACCACGCTCCTGGCGTATT